TTTGAGAATCAGGCTTTTTAGGCTATCACCCCTATTACCCGCAGCGGAAGTGCAAGCACCGTTTCGACTGGACGTGATCCTCTGAGCAGAGAAGTTCGAGATCTCAAAGAAGCTTTTGCTGACATGAATGTTGCAAAACGTGCAGCGGCTGGACGAAATCGTGATGAAACGGCAGATTCGTTTGCGTTGGATGAGATGTAAATGATTTATTAATTTCACTTTTTTTTTCTTTTTTTTGTTACTTGGAGGCGTTTGCCGATGATGTTCTGAATTTCAAATCGAAACTAACTAAACACGATCTTATTCGAGTCGATCTTTGGTCGGCTATGACATAATCGAGAGCTGAGGCGCTTTTTTGTATAGGATCCTGAAATATGTATAATCACAGCTATTTAGAAAATAGTAGATCTTTAGGCTGACCATCGAAAGACCGCCGAGTGGATCTCGCGCATCGTCAACCATAGAGCAAGCCCGATTGAGTTCTCTCCATCTCCTTGCGGATAATGCGATCAGAGACGCTGATCAATGCACGAAAGCACTTCGTTCTGGAGCGCTGAATTACTTGGTGGAAAAGGCCACGAGCACACAAGGGGGTGGGTATTATTTTTTGTAGGTTTTTTCTCTCAGATTCTTCCACTTTTTTTCTTAATATTTTCTTGTGATTTTTTCAAGGTATTGCATACCACTTTCGTACATTTCAGTCCAACCACTGAGAAAGTTAGTTTTTTTTTGCGCTAGTAAATGGCCATACAAGAGTCGTTAAACTGAAACAAAGCAACTGAAGCAACTGAAGCATTTTTTCGACTGTTTAGCATTAGTTGTTGTTCTTTCTCGATTATTCTTGTCAAATCTGTATGAAACAGAATTTTTGATGAAATACTGATGATTTTGCCCACTAACCGATTTTTGCAGGAGAAACAAAATGTGTCAAGTATCATGTCATCACACATAGGATAAAGAGTGCACCGGAACACCACAAACATCATCGGAGAAACAGCACTTCGTCTACTTCTGTTGCTCAGAAACCCATCTATCCAACCTTCACTTTGGATAGCTTGAATCC